TTTTTAATTTAAAATTTAAAAAAAGAAGCAGTGGATAAATACACATGAACATGAAAATCAGTCAAGATAATACTAACACTTGAGTTGAAGAAAAAAATTAAGCCTGAGCAAAGCTTTCATGGCAGAAAGATAACAGGTTAATATTTATTTTCCATTTAGGTTTTTTTTTTTTTTTTAATTAAAATCTTTATTGTTCAGGTTAATTTGGCTTATTATTGAGCATATTAATAAATGATAAATAAATTTTTCTTTTTACTGAAGCTGGCAGTGAGCAAAATAAATTTATAACTTATTTATCTATTGCTTTTTTCCTGCCTTTGATGGAGATTTATTTTCCATTTAGGTTTTTAACCTAATGTTAAATGCCCAAATGTGTTGGAGCTCATTATCAATGTTTATCAAGGGTTATCTAAGGTGAAGTTTAGGAAGCTGTACTCTTAGAGAAAAAAGGGGATGTAATATTCTTAGAAGAGAAAAGGGTTTCATTTATGACAAGGAGGAGCAGGACACATTTTGTTGAGAGGGTGAGAATGTAGAAGAGTGTTTAATACAGAAAAGGAGCTTTAGAAAGCAGAGAAAAAAGTTTAGGAGTCTGAGTAAAACTCTTGTAGGGAATAAAATGATGTAACTATTATTGAGCTATATTTCCTGGCCTTGCCCACACAACCCTTGTTTGTATAGCACCTATTAACCTCTTACAGAAGTAGTGCTGTGTGGATTACAGCTTGGGAAACATTGGCAGAGCACTCAAGGATAGCAGGCTGTGAAGCATTCCTCAGTGGAGTTGGTGCCAAGTCACGGTAAACTCAACTCTCAAGGTATCTGGAGGGCACTGCTTGAACAAGGATGAGCCAGATTCAGGGCCACCCAACTTGTTGAGTTGTTTCATGGCCACTTGTCTTTTCAGCTCAGCTAAATTGCGGCCTCTGTGAAATCAGGGACAGTTGTCATTTCTTTACATCTCCACAACATTTGGCTTATTATTGAGCATATTAATAAATGATAAATAAATTTTTCTTTTTACTGAAGCTGGCAGTGAGCAAAATAAATTTATAACTTATTTATCTATTGCTTTTTTCCTGCCTTTGATGGAGATTTATTTTCCATTTAGGTTTTTAACCTAATGTTAAATGCCCAAATGTGTTGGAGCTCATTATCAATGTTTATCAAGGGTTATCTAAGGTGAAGTTTAGGAAGCTGTACTCTTAGAGAAAAAAGGGGATGTAATATTCTTAGAAGAGAAAAGGGTTTCATTTATGACAAGGAGGAGCAGGACACATTTTGTTGAGAGGGTGAGAATGTAGAAGAGTGTTTAATACAGAAAAGGAGCTTTAGAAAGCAGAGAAAAAAGTTTAGGAGTCTGAGTAAAACTCTTGTAGGGAATAAAATGATGTAACTATTATTGAGCTATATTTCCTGGCCTTGCCCACACAACCCTTGTTTGTATAGCACCTATTAACCTCTTACAGAAGTAGTGCTGTGTGGATTACAGCTTGGGAAACATTGGCAGAGCACTCAAGGATAGCAGGCTGTGAAGCATTCCTCAGTGGAGTTGGTGCCAAGTCACGGTAAACTCAACTCTCAAGGTATCTGGAGGGCACTGCTTGAACAAGGATGAGCCAGATTCAGGGCCACCCAACTTGTTGAGTTGTTTCATGGCCACTTGTCTTTTCAGCTCAGCTAAATTGCGGCCTCTGTGAAATCAGGGACAGTTGTCATTTCTTTACATCTCCACAACATTTGGCTTATTATTGAGCATATTAATAAATGATAAATAAATTTTTCTTTTTACTGAAGCTGGCAGTGAGCAAAATAAATTTATAACTTATTTATCTATTGCTTTTTTCCTGCCTTTGATGTCTTGGTCTCCTCCATTTAGGTTTTTAACCTAATGTTAAATGCCCAAATGTGTTGGAGCTCATTATCAATGTTTATCAAGGGTTATCTAAGGTGAAGTTTAGGAAGCTGTACTCTTAGAGAAAAAAGGGGATGTAATATTCTTAGAAGAGAAAAGGGTTTCATTTATGACAAGGAGGAGCAGGACACATTTTGTTGAGAGGGTGAGAATGTAGAAGAGTGTTTAATACAGAAAAGGAGCTTTAGAAAGCAGAGAAAAAAGTTTAGGAGTCTGAGTAAAACTCTTGTAGGGAATAAAATGATGTAACTATTATTGAGCTATATTTCCTGGCCTTGCCCACACAACCCTTGTTTGTATAGCACCTATTAACCTCTTACAGAAGTAGTGCTGTGTGGATTACAGCTTGGGAAACATTGGCAGAGCACTCAAGGATAGCAGGCTGTGAAGCATTCCTCAGTGGAGTTGGTGCCAAGTCACGGTAAACTCAACTCTCAAGGTATCTGGAGGGCACTGCTTGAACAAGGATGAGCCAGATTCAGGGCCACCCAACTTGTTGAGTTGTTTCATGGCCACTTGTCTTTTCAGCTCAGCTAAATTGCGGCCTCTGTGAAATCAGGGACAGTTGTCATTTCTTTACATCTCCACAACATTTGGCTTATTATTGAGCATATTAATAAATGATAAATAAATTTTTCTTTTTACTGAAGCTGGCAGTGAGCAAAATAAATTTATAACTTATTTATCTATTGCTTTTTTCCTGCCTTTGATGGAGATTTATTTTCCATTTAGGTTTTTAACCTAATGTTAAATGCCCAAATGTGTTGGAGCTCATTATCAATGTTTAACAACTTTGACTTACACCTTTTAATATCTCATGTACCTACACGTGTCCTATCTTTGATAATTTTTATGAAGTGGGGCTAGAAAAAAGCTCAAAAAAGAATATTTTATATTGTTGATTAGTGAAGTATTTATCCTAGTTATTATTATAAAGAAGAAATAGTTGGGCAGATTTGAGACGTAGCTAAAGCATTCATTTAAAAGTTGGGTTGTTTTTTTCAAGTAAAATTTTAAAAATTAACTAGAGGTATAAAATCTATTTTAATGTTTTGAGGAACCTCCACACTGTTTTCCATATTGGTCACACCAATCTGCATTCCCACCAACAGTGTGCTAGGGGTCCCTTTTCTCCATATCCTTGCCAATACTTGTTTCTTACTTTATGAACAACAGCCATTCTGGCAGGTGTGAGGTGATACCTCATTGTGGTTTTAATTTGCATTCCTCTTATGATTAGTAATGTGAACATCTTTTCATATATATATATATTGGCCATCTGGGAACATTTCTGCAGAAACTCGAAACACTAATTTGAAAGAATATATGCATCCCTGTGTTTATTGCAGCGTTATTTACAATAGCCCATCAGTAAATGAGTGGATAAAAAAGCTGTGGTACATTTACACAATGGAATACTTTGCGGGCATAAAAAAGAAGGAACTCTTACCCTTTGTGACAGCATGGATGGATTCAAGGGTATTATGCTAAGTGAAATAAGCCAGTCAGAGAAAGACAAATACCATATGGTTTTACTTATATTTGGAATCTAATGAACAAAATAAAATAGAAACAGATTCATAGACACAGAGAACAGACTGACAGCTATCAGAAGGGGGTTATTGGGGGTCTAGGTGAAAGAAATGAAGGTATTAAGCAGTAAAAATTGGTAGTTGCAGAATAGTCAATGAGATGTAGATTACAGCATAGGGAATATAGTCAATAAATAGAAGTAAATAGGTATTGGGCCAGGTGGCTACCACTCTGTAAAGTACATTATTTTATAACCACTTTGCTGTATATATGAAATAAAGAATAATATTGAATATTAGCTGTAATTGAAAAATTTAAAATTTTTTTAAAATATACATATTTGGCCAAAAATTGTTATAACAGTCAGGAAGTTACCTTTAAGAATTCTTTAATTAGCTGTTACTTATTTACTGTATTAGCAAATGTGTGTTTGTGTATAGAAGGGAATATATGTAAGTATAAATGTATACTATATACAGAAACATGTAAAATTTAATATAGGAATACAAATGAAAATATAATTTATAACATGTATTATTACACAAAAGGTAGAGAAAGATATGCATGTGCTTAAATATGCAGAAGTCAGTGCAAATTATTACATGATTCCACTGGGGCATACAAAAGCAAAGATATAAAATAGTTGAAAATTTTAATTTTTAAGAGTGGTACAGTTATGAAATGTACTTGGTTTTTTAAATTGTTATTGCTATGGGTTATGCATTTATTCATATTCTTCAGTGAGGGCATTTGCCTTCAGCTAAATATAAGAAAAAAGTAAGGGAACTGATAAAAACTCCAGTCTCCGGATTGTTTGATGTAATGTCCTCCAACACTAGCAGAGTTTAATCTGTTGTCCTTAGGACAGAGTTCCAACATTTATTGATGAGCTCTACCTCCTTTGATAGCATAGTTCACAGTGTAATATAAACCCAGACTGTTTGAATTGGGTTCTGCGAGTCTATTTTTCTCAGCATAGAGATGTGGATAGAAAGGCTCAGAAATATACTGTCATAAAAGTACCTACACAGCCTTCCTCTCCTGAAGAAGCCACAGTGTCTGAGAGCCTGGGAAGTCACATGCATTAGGAATCTTTATCTCCACTATTGAGACTTACCTTGATTTGTAGGCCTTCGCTCAGGTTTGGTTTATTTAGAGAATTGTGTTTGGTAAATTTCTATGTAGAATGGAAACCTTCTCATGCCCCTGGACCCAGAAATCAGGTGAATATGCTCTTGTTTTTATTCCACTCGCTCCCTTGTTGTAGTTTCAGTGAAAACATTTGCTTATAAACTGTCCTCCCGTCAGGCCAAGAAGAGAAGCAGTTTCTACCTAAACTAACCTTCCCATGTATACAGGAGAGAGAGAGAAAAAAGAAAGACTTTTCAAGGGTAGTTAAGCAAAAACACCATATTACAAAGGCTTTGGTACAATTTTATTTCTCCTTTGAAGACGCATGTCTGATTTTAGAGTGTAGAAGTTAATAGGACCAATCCCCCATAGAATGTACTTCACACTTCTAATTGTTTCTAATTATTTTTTTATTATTTAGACTTCAAGGAGACAACTTGGCAGAAAGAACAGAGGAGACGACACAAATACTTCCTTCTCCAGATGAAATAATCCTGGATTCTTTGAGTAAGTTTTCAATCCCACAATACCTACATAGCTGCCTGTCATATGTGTACCAGTCCTTCAGGATGGGTATCGGGAGGTTAAGGGCAAAAGAATATGGATTCTGAGGAGCAGGCTCTTCATGTCTGTGCCTGTTTTGGGTACAAACAGGTCAACCATAAGCTGGCTGTTGCCAAAATTTGTCACGAATTCCAGCTGGTTTGGGGTACTTTACATTGTTCACTCCCATTCTCACATCAAGGATCCCTTTATTCTTCCCTGCCAGAAGTGTCAATATTATATAGATTTTGTTCCCTCTCTCATCCTTATATTGAATTGTTCTCAAATCATGTCAATGTGCCTTCAGAATTGCCTTTCCCAGGCAGCCTCCTCTTCATTTTCCCTGATGCTGCCTGGTCTATGTGTTTGTCCTCTTTCTCTGTCTAATTTAACAGCCTTGTTTGTACTATCTCAAATAGTCGTTGTACTATCTCACCCCTCTTCAGCTCATTATCTTTTTTTACAAAGAAAGCTGCTTATGTCACCCCCCTTTTTTATATTACAAAATTCAAACTCCTTAGCTTAGCATATGAAGTTCACGGCAGGGCACCTCAAAATGGTTGCTGAATAATTAAGCACGTGTAATGTCACTATGATGGCATTAAAGGTACATCACTGCTTCACCGTTCCGTATTCTAGCAGGAAGCAGCTGGACATCCAGCTGGGATAATTAAAAGAAAAACAGTAGAAACTTTTTTTTTTACATCTGGATAGAGGAGGACATCTTAAACAAGATGGAAAAAATCTTAACTATGAAATAAAAAAAAATCAACTATAGAAAGTTAGAAACTGTTCATCAAAGAATGCCATAAAAAGTGAATAGCTATTCCACAAAGTAAGAAAATATTTTTGAAATAGATTTGTAACTGATCAAATATTAATATTCAGAATACGTACATAAAGAACATCTACAATTTTTTCTTTTTTGTTCAATCCCTCCATCCCCCTAACATCTATAATTTAATAAAAATCAAAAACAATAGAAAAATAAGCGACAGGTATGAATTGACATTTCATGGAAGAGGAGAAACACAATTGGCCAGTGAACATTTGAAAGATGCTTAATGTTCTGGTAACCAAGGGAAAGCAAATTAAGACCACAAAGAGGTGCTGTGTTATAACCAATTGTTTGCCATTAATTAAGAAATTTGGCAAAACCAAGTGCTGGTGAAGACATAGATGAAAGAAAAGTCATACACTACAGGTGGGCATAAACAATTTTGGAAACTTTCCCATTATCTTAAAATCTTGAACATTTATATCATCTAAAACCCAGGCACTCCACTTCTAGGAAAATATCTTAGCGAAACAAGTCTTGTGCCATGAAATGTGAACAACCCTTCTTAGTATGCTCCCGAAGAGGAAAATGGGTAGACATGGTGGAAGTGTTATATTGTAGGAAACTGAATGCATTTCAACTACACATAAGACGGATGAAACTAGTGGAATGCTAATAAATGTTACCAACTGTTTCTTTGAAAAGAGCCCTGATTTGTAGAAATTGGTGGTTTCCATAATGTGCTCCCGCTGAAGTTGAATTCAAGTAACCAATCTGAAACGGCAGCGAGGACTCCCAACTGGTAAGAGCAGGTTATAGCTCACAGCTGAATGAATCTTAAAAGCATAGTATTGATTGAAAAAAAGCAAGTCATAGAATTAAATTCATGTGAAAGCTCAAAACTAGCAAATCTAAGTAATATGTTCTTAAGAAGACATACATAAATGATAAAACTGTATTTAAAGAAGGGAATGAAAAGCTCAAAATGGTGGTTATTGCCAGTGGGTAGAGGAAACAAGGAGGTGGGATAAGAAAATTGTGCAAAGGGAAATGAGGATTATTTAAAAGTCCTAATTCTTAAATTAGGTGGTGTCTTGGGTGTTTATTTCATCGTGTTTTGTAATATAAATACACTACATATGATGCATACATATATTTTGAATATGCTTTTTATATGTCAAGTATTACCCAATAAACATTTAAAAATAAAGTGTGATGGGAACATACATACACCAATGCCAGTGTAGCACAATATAATGAAATAATGATAGTTTACATGCACTCAAATCTCTTATAGTACTAGTGACATGAAACACTTGAGACTTTTAACACTGCCAGCAGAAGTTGGGAAGGATGTTGGTCATTTGTTGGCCATTTGTTGACATAAGACAGATATTACTTAACTACTGGCCCATTATTTTTTAAAATTCTCTCAACCCCCCCCCCCAATCCACCAATCTACAAATCTGTATCTTCAGCAATCATATTCATAATAACTGAGAATTATAGAAACTCAATTTTTTTGGAAATTTAAACAAGACACCAGTAATATGTTGATTATATTTACTTGTGTCCACTGGGGGAAAATGTATTTATTACGTTTAAGGTCCTTTCTTAAGCTTCTGCATTCTTGACATTCAAGTATCTGTAGATTTAATGAACAAATCTGAAAACATGAGTTTCTGATTCAATATATTCTTTTCCACTTACGTTAGAAAATAACTAGATTCAATAATTCAATATTATTGATATTATTCGAAAGTGCTAATGTGATTTTTATTTCAGCTTTGTATCCACACTGAATTTGGCTCAAAAAATATTTCTATGAATGGGTATAATTTTGTGCATAAAAGCCTATTGTGACACACACAGCAAAAGTAACAATAATGGCAGGAAAAAGGTGAATAAAGCTAAAGTCTAGAGTTTTCTAATTTCTAGCAGCATGCCCAATTACAACAGAGGTAGTTTGTAGTTCAAGTACTGCCAGAGACTTTGAATTTGACAAAATCACTTTATCTTTCTATGTTCCAGTTGCTTCTTCTCTAAAATGAAGTGATAAGATAAGCTCTAATATTTGATCAATTTAGAGAATCATTTTCCCCTCAGTGTATTTTGAAAATCATATAGACTTATAAAAGAGTAAGTACATAGGGCAAAGTAGTTCGCACATATGCACACACCAATTATTGTTAATCAGCAATGTACTAAAATACTTTAAAAAATGGAGCTCCAAGCATGAAACTAAGATTTTATTTTTAGGATATATATTGTCCCTACTAGAATGTAAATTCAAAAATATTCTGGCAGGACCTCACAGTTGTCTCACATTACATTGAATGGAATTCATCATGTTTTTAAATGTTTTTTATTGATTTTTTTTTTAAGAGAGGGAAACATCATCTATCACCTGCCTCCTGCACGCCCTATTGGGGGTTGAGTTGCAACCTAGGCATGTGCCCTGACTGGGAATCAAACCCATGACCTCTTGATTCCTTGGTCAACGCTCAACCACTGAGTCACACTGGCTGGGCAAATTCATCATATTTTTTATCCCACTAGATATTGTGCCAATAAACAGGAAGAATTCAACTCAAACAAGAACAGAACAGAATTCACTCCTCATAAAAAATTATTTTGTTATGAAGCACCTACTAGAATGTCTCTAGTGACTTATAGTATTTGTTGAATAAATGAATATACAAACACACAGAAATAGTTGAATGAATTGATTAATACGTACATACATTAAAAAATCAATCAGAATGACAATACCTCTTTAAAACCACGAATTACTGACTGAGAACTTGAAAACTTAGTTATAGTATAATATTTCTAACCTTAAAAAAATCAGCAAATCCACTAGAGGGTTGGTTTTCTCCTACATATGAAATAATTTGCTTAGTAATGCAGAATAGAACATTTTAATATTATTTATTAAGTTAATATTCTACTCAAGAGTTTCAACACAAATAAAACAGGAAAAATAGAGTAATAAAATTACACTAGTATTTACTCACAGTTCAGTAGATTATAATTCAGTCTTAGAGGACTTAAACTTATGCTAATTTACACATCCTAATGTAAAAAGTCTATACATTGTCACTCTTACCAATTGGGTTTTAGTAAATAGGGATTCAAGTATCCTTTGTTAGTGCATTAATATTTTTGAACTTGGTGTAATTTTCATCATCTGTATTGATTTTGTCAACAAAAATTTCCTTCTTTTTAATGTCTGTTTGGAAGGGCGGTAGGTAAAAATTTTAAATTTGCTTACAACTTGAGAAAACAGCGGTTATTGAGTGTAGATTCTGATTCAGAAGCTACGGTATAATTACGGCTTTATGCCAAGCTTTCCATAGTCTCCTTGAGTGGCCGTTAAGGGCTTGAGAGATTTAATGCTCTCATTTTCTTCCCAGAGCACACATTTTTTTAACAGAAAAATCTGTCTCCATATTTACATGAATCTGAGGGAAAATTTTTAGGGATTCATATGACTCTCAAGTATTAATAATTATAAGAAATCAATTTTAGAAGTCTCCAATAGTTTAAAATGTCTTCCTCTTTACTGATTTTTTTTATTTGAATAGAAGGTATTAAAGTATGGACTATTTCTAGATTCTCTATATATCTGTCCTTATTGCAGATTTTTTATAACCCATATAAATCCTTGTCATCATAATTAATTTAACTCAGCAGACATATGGGAAGGGCTGCCATAATTTTATCCACATATTTGAAAGTCACTACTCATTCACTCCTCAATCTATTCAAGATACGAAATCACAACTTCTTTCTTAATACATTAAAATGGAAAACTTTCCATCATTTAATAATATGTACTCTTCTCCAAACTTTTCAGAATTTCCTATCCCATTTAAGAGAAAGAACACAAAATGGTAATTACATTGTGTGGCCAGTAAAGAAAAAAAAGAAGACAGTTGATAGGTAAAACAAATAAATATAAAATTACAAACCAGAAAAGAACATTAAAGTTCCAACAATTGGCTGAATGAAACGCTAAAAGAAAGTTTGCCCTATCCAAGATAATAGCAGCTCTTGCACATTCCATTTCTAATTTCATTGTATCCTTCTACATTCAAAATTCATAGCATTTTTCATAGGTTGTCTTTAAGCTAAATAAATGTTTTACACTCTACTTTAACTCACAAACACTGTAATTTTTTCAGCAACCAGTTCAGTCACTTTAATATCCTTCTTGTAATAGGCTTGCATATCAAATTTAAGCAATATGTGACTGTAACTTATTCGTTCTTTTGGTAAAAATAGATTCTTTACCTGGGACTGAAGAAGCACTAATGGAGGAGGGTGGAGATTTTGAAATAGCATCTAAATTAACAGGACCTGTAAGTATATTCACTTATTGTTTTAATCTCTAAAACTAATTTATCTCATTGATAGGAAAATCTAATAGAAGTAGAAAGGAATAGGAAACAATAACTTTAAAGAATATTTCAAGTGTACACCCACTGTGTCCCTCATAGCCTTGCAGAGTGCTCATATCAGTAGGGGGCCAGCTTGATTACAAGTATACAGCAAGGCTGCAATTAAGGAAGAAGATTCAAATGAGGTGGGAGAAAATAAATTCTGGTATTAATACCTTTTTCTGCACATGAGTATTCTATAAGATATGAGTTGCCATCTTAAACTTCAATAAGTTTATACCTATCTTAATAGAAAAATAAATGTTTTGCATATCCTGAAAGTTCACATATAATATAAGCATGCTATTATTGCTTATGAAGTCCTTGTGATATTTTTGTTCAACTATCTCTTTTCAATAGAGTATATTGGGAGGAAACCAATAGGTTTTAAGATTTTCAATGCAATATAATGTTGAGAGAATAAATACAGGAAAACTATAATCTACATGTAAATTCTAAACGTAAAGTTTATAACAGATTCTGAATTATTTTCAAAATGACTATGCAGTCTTGTGCTATCCTAAACTTAATAATTTAGACTGGGTTTACATGCTACAGTATTCTCTGTATTTGTTTGCTGAGGCTTCCATAAGAAAGCACCACAGACTGGGTGGCTTAAATAGCAGAATTTTATTGTCTCACAATTCTGAAGGCAGATAGATCCGAGTGCTAGCAGATTTGGTTTCTCCTGAGGCCTCTCGGCTTGCAGATGGTCATCTTCTCCCTGTATCTTCACATCATCATCCCTCTGTCCATGTCTATGTCCTGATCTCCTCTTCTTTTAATAACACTAGTCATATTGGATTAAGACCTATCCCAATGATCTCAATTAACTTGATTACCTCTTTAAAACCTTGTCTCCAACTACAGTCAGATTCTGAAGAACTGGAGGTTAAGATGTCAGCATATAAATTTGGGGGGACATAATTTAGACCATAACACTCTCTGATGAGGTTACAGTATTTGGAACATTACTTAGATCACAAGATTTGATTGAGGGCACCACATTTTCCAATGGATTTCATAATAAAATTAATTTTTTAATTACTGATGAAATGAATATATCTTTGAAGTTTCCCAGAATCCTATTTAAAACTTCAAATTTGTTTTCTTTGTTATTCTATATAGTAGTTGTCATCTTCTAATATACTATGTATTATACTTGTTTTGCTTATGGTTCATCTTCTTCACAAAATATAAGGTCTATGTGGGCAAAAATTATTTTCCTTTTTTTTCACTTTTGTATCCCTAGCAAAGTGCCTACACATAGTAGATACACAATACATGTATATTGAATAAATGAAATTTTTATCAATAATTTCTCGTCATGAGATGAACAATATACGTAGAGCCTTAGAAATCGAAAGAACCATAGCGGCCACCTGGTTCAGCCTTTCCTCTCCCTTATCTCAGTATTCTTACTTTCATTGAAGGTAAGGATATCCATTTTATATAAAAGGAAAAAAAGTCAGAGAAGCTTAGTAACAGGACTAAGCTCCCAAAGCTAAAAGAGTGAAAAGGTCAGGAGTTGAGCGCTAGTCAATTTCCCTTCTACTGCATATCCCTGGTATTCAGGTGCTTTCCCGTTTCTTTCAGGAGTTTATTCCTGTTTGTTAGACATTTTCATATATTCCTCACAACCACTTGTAACCATTGGTTTCAGTTCTATTCCTTGGGCAATAGCCTGAGTCCAATCCTTCCTTTTAACTGATCTCCACTTATTGGAAACAGTTAGGATGTCCTATTTGAGACTTGTTCAGCCCAAACACAATCTGTTCCTTCAACCAGTTCTTATATTGTGTAGTTTGCAAAAATTTCAGCACTTTTGATTCTTTCCCTGGACATATTCTTGTTTGCCAAATCCCTTGTAACGTGGGGGTTATGCCACAACCAAACCCAGGGTTCCAATAATGTTCCCACATCAGAGAGTATAATGGGATACATACTTGATGCAAATATTATCTTTGGAGTATGACCTGGGATTGTAATAACGTTTTTTAAAGGAACTTTCTGACATTTATAAACTTCAGTTTGTCTCCATAATCTCATGATGATAATAATGAATAATCTGTTATTCATCACTTTTGGCAAAGATTTGTTTTATCGTCTGTGAATTCTACCAAAGCCCATGTACCTATCTGCCTCATATCTAAAAGGATACAGTTAGATTCTCTTTCGAATCACTTTCTAAAATTCAGGTATATCTGTTTATAGTATTTGACTTACTTAATAATACCTAACAATCCGAAAGGGGGAAAAAGAAAAGTTAGCTTTTTTTTTTTTGTCAAAATTCTCCTGAGTTATTTCAAACTGGCTCTTAAAAGATTTTCTGCTTTCTTTTTATAGTGTTCACACAGTGCTCTCCTATGCAGACATTTGTTCTAAGTCAGTGTTACTTGTTTTCATTTATCAATGATTAGACTTTGAATTCTTGAAAATTTCTATAATTCTATTTAGTCAAATTAACACTAATTCTTTTTGGAAATATGTGGAATATAAAAATACCTGTATAAATTAATATCAGGATCCTGAACATAATCTCTAGGGGGTAGCTGCTTTTATTGTAAAGAAAACATGGATTTTTAAAAATTTTTGTCAGATTGATGATATTTTAGATGCAAATTCCCCAAAACATACTTCTATAATATTTCTGAGGACTGTATTTTTGGTAAATCAAGAAGAAAATTGTGGCTTTGTGTAGATATGAATGGAGAATTGAAACAAAACAGAACTTTTTTTCTTTATTATCGTAAGAAATGCAATATATTTTATAGCAAATTTTGAGTCATATACTGCAAAATGTAAAAATGCCACAAATGTTAAAAACCATTTAGAGTAATTTCAACACGTGCTGTCTCTATTTGCTAACTTTCCATGTTGGGTATTGGATATTAATAAGTGGGTAGCAGGATTTTGGAAACTTTTCCCCAGTGGCTTCACCTGTGTTTAAAATACTTCATGAATATTTTGTGAATATTTGAGGGAAGTAAAGGCAACATTTAGTTTAGATTTTTATCGTCTCCCTAATAAGCAAGTCATCCTTTTGGAATTTCCCTCTTCCCTTCCTCCTTCTGTGTTCTGGAATGCCTCTTAACATATTCACAGCTGTGATGATTAAAGGTGAATTTGCTAGCTAAATCTATTTGTTAAAAATGAACCAACAAAAGGGAAATCTTAGGAAGAAAATACCAAGTAGCAGATATTGATTATAACCTTTTAATTCATAAATGTGGTACATATTTTTCTGGATCAGTGAGCCAAAAAGACTTACAGCAATGATATTTTAATTTCACAGTTCTTATGGCATTCTTAAAAATTCTGTATTGTTTTTTGTTAAACAAGCATATGAGCATAATGAGAAAATAAGATAACTAAGAAAGATATTTGACATTAAATATCTTACTGACTTTTTTTCTTTGTAAATCTGCTATTTGTTTTATTTATTCACTAGCACTGACCAGACTGTCATAAGTTGACTCTCTTTTTTTAATTTTTTATTGAACTAATTGGGATGACATTGGTTAATAAAATTACATACAATTCTATAATACACCAGCTGTATATTGTATTGTGTGTTCACTACCCCAAATCAAGTCTCCTTTCATCACCACTTATCCCTCCTTTACCCTCTTCTTTCTTCCCCTACACCCCTTTCCCTCTGCTAATCACCCTACTGTTGTCTGTGCTTATGAGTTTTTTGCTTAATCCCTTCACCTTTTTCAACCCAGCCCTGCAATGGCCCTTCCTCTGACAGCTGTCAGTCTGTTCTCTGTATCTGTGAGTTTGCTTCTATTTTGTTTGTTAGTTTATTTTGTTCATTAGATTTCAACTATGAATGAAATCATATGGTACTTGTCTTTCTCTGACTGGCTTATTTCAGTTAGCATTATGCTCTCCAGATGCTTCCATGCTGTCACAAAAGGTAAGATTCCCTTCTTTTTTATAGCTGAGTAGTACTCCATTGTGTAAATGTGCCACAGCTTTTGTGTGCACTCATCTACTGATGGGCACTTGGGCTGATGAGCTGACTTCCTTAAGACTTTATGTAACTGGTCATCAGTTAAAGTAGAAGAAAAATTAAAAGGACTCCTATAAGGAAAGGTTTTATAAAAAGCCTGGAGTTTTTAAGAGTTTTATTTTCAGGTCATTTTTCTTCTGAAGAGCTTTATATATTTGAGGAGGTATATACAACTAACTAGAATGAAAATAGTAATAATGAAAATGATAGCACATATTTGTATGGTACTTTTTAATTGTTAAGCATTTTTACATACTTAATATCAATCATCTCTGAATTTTGCAGTTCCTATGATTTATCTCTTAGGCTTGACAACCTTTCTGTGAAATAAATAGTACTCTAAGTTTACGGTGAGCATATTGAGCTGCTAGATGATCTGGTAACTTGTCCCAGGTCACATAAATGGGGAAAAACTAAAGCTCATATTTCTCAGTGCCCCAGCACTCTTTAATAGAACTTGTCAGGGTCCATACAATTATTAAGGCAATGAGGCCACTGCTAAATTGGACATGTAATATAGAAAGGATTAAAAGGAGGACATTATCAGTAGCCTATATCAAAGATAGAATTATGAGATAGTAAAAAAAGTAGACATTTGAGGGACTGGATCAAAAGACAGGTATATTTTTATGAAAGGAAGGTATCAGTAAGTTTGGTGCAAGAAAGACTAGTCTTGCTTGGGTCTTTCACAATTAGAGGAATCCGAGAAACCAGGCTGGCATGACAAGGAGGGGATCTTAAAATTGGGAGGGTACTCAGAAGGAAAGTGAAAAAGGAAATAATACATGTCTTGGAAAAATTGCCTGTGGCAAACACAGATGTTAGACGTAGGTGATTCGAGCAGCATCATTTAATAAGGTGTCTACTTAGCTGGATTAGAGGTCAATTTCAATTACTTGTAAGA